ACGGGCCGAGTGGGAGCCTATCACGACCAAGGCATGCAAAATACCTTAAAAGCGGGCAACACGGTGAGCACACCTTGCCTTCCCCTTTGCTGAGTTACCATCATGAGAGCATCAGCCGTCCTCCCAGGCACGAGCAGTGTGAGCACTGTGTCTGCACAACTGAAGCTGGAGGATGGGCAGGCTCCTTTGTGGTCTCCTTCACCCTCTCACGCCAGCGGAGCAACACAGGGCTGTCCAACACAAGGGATTTCATAGCAAGGCAAAGCAAAACAGCAAAGGAAATGGGGCAGCTGTACGTTTTTCAGTTGCTGGAGAAGGAAATGGATTAAATGGGGAAATTAAACGCTTCAGCAGTAATTCACAAAACAATCCTGCTTCGAGACTGTGCTTGAACTTTTCTGAAAATGGACTCCTGGGGCTTGCTGCGGTCAGGGCTGGCAGCAATATTGCTTGGGCTTGGCCAGTGGCAGCTGGTTGCCCCCACACTGATAGTTTGGCTGCAAGTTTATTTCTATCAGTTCTTCAGAGAGAAGTTACATACTCCAAGGAAAGGAAAAGATAGGCAACTGCTACATGGGTGGCAGGCTGAGATAGTTCAGAGCAAATCTATCCAGGCAGCAGAAATGATGCTTCACATACAGCCTCAGAGGTGTTAAAAGGAGCAGCCCAAAGCACTATCAAAAGCATCCAAATACAGGAAAAAAAAAAAAATCTTTATTGTAAGATAAGCTAATTAATGCTCTTAAACCAGCCCGTTCCAAAAAATATTCTGATTACATCACTTGTTCATTAAGAACAACAAGCAAAATGGTACAGAAGAAGGAGCAGATTATACAGTAATTTAAACAGTTCTGATGGGCTGGGAAAGAGGACAGGACACACATGCAGCAGCTTGACAAGTCTACTCGTCTGCCTGGGTAGTACACTAACACCTTCATTAATGCCGTGAACTGATCTCTGAGAGCACACACAATTCTCTTAATGCTACTGGGTGTTACATGTTTGTATCATTCATAAAATGAACGCCCTAGTGCATATCTACGAATTTTCTTTGGATATTGTTATAGTTTCTCTCCCGACCACATTCTGGGCAATGAGACAAACCCTGTGAGCACAGGGGAGCCTTACATAGGAGGAATGTAATTAAGAACACTTTTTTTTTTTTTTAAGTTCATGTACTGGATTTTGAGCTGGGGTAAACTCTTACGTCCTCATTAGCTTCTGCTGAGCTTCAATGTTTACACAAGCTGGTGGCATTATAATTTCAAACACTTCTTCAGTCATTTCTACTTAAGGCAAGAGCCTGCATGAAAGCACTGTGGAGATGGAGCATGCCATCAGAAAAGGCAGATTCCTTGCATACAGATGAGTCTTCATCTCACAAAAATTCTAAGGGCCTGTGGCCACTATGCAAAAATTGGAAGCACGACCCTCTGAAGCAGTAGGGCAGATGCCTGTTGTAAGAATTCACTCTAAGGAAGCAAATGTGTCTTTGAAGAAGTTGATGAAATAAAGATCAAATCTGAGAGAATAACATTTAAGGAAAAAGAAATTATTTCTGTTCGGCTGGATATACCTCCATCAGAAATCAGACTGAGTCCACCAATTCATTTCCTACAGGATTCAAATCCTGGCCATCATCCTGAGTCTTAATTTTGGAAAATGATAGTCTTTCCATGTTTGGTGCCCTGCATTAATCCCAAAACCTTTGTAGTCAAGATGACAGCCAACATCTTACTTCAACCAATAACCACCCACGGTGCCTACATTTACCTCTTATCTTTATGGAAGGAAGAGATGTAGGCCTCCTCCTTTGTCTGCCATAAAACCCGAACAAGGAGAAGCTAGGGAGAACCCATCTTCCAGGGGTTAATCATACAAGACTGTATCTGACAAGATACTGAATGCACTCAAGGCTGTACTTTGGCGGACAGGGACACATTCAGCCATGCCGGACTGCAACAAAGCATGCGTTAATGCAGTTCAAGTTGCTAAGGCATCCTTGCTGGTTGCTATGGCATGTGTACCGTTACGAATGTTTGGTTCTGGTTTATTATTTTTCGAAGTATTGGCTTCGTTTGTGTAACAAACTAATCTATCAACCATTAGAAACAAGCTCCCCTTTTTCCTCTGGCTCCTTCCTCCTCTTTTCTGAAATGGGTGACATTTATCTTCGTTACCCAGTCTTGGGCTGTCCCACACTCCTCTTCTTGCATGTTTTTGTGCTTCTGCAGAGAAGAGGATTTAAAATGGCTGACAGTAGCCCATGCAGTAATCCATTTGTATTTGTTAAACTTATCACTTCTGTACAGCAAATAGAGTCCTCCTGAGATGCGCAACTGGTTGCTACAAAAAGTATAAAATTACGCATGATCAGTGCAGTTTTGCTCCCAGGTGTTTTCAATGAAGTGATTATGCAGACCACCAAGCAGATTTGGTGGATTTCCCTGGAGTGGCATTGAACCCCATTTGAATGCAAGTGGGCTGCCTCCTGCTAAAAGCTGTATTTTTTCTGAAGTATGAACCCACTCTGAAAAGCAACGGCCTCATGTGGCTCCTTGTGTGCTGTGTCTCATTGTTTCCATATTAAAATAGGCCAGAAGCAAAATGATTACTTTAAAAAAAACCAAAAACCAACCACAACCAACCCTAAGACCCATCTAAACTCAGCCAAACTCAAGCCTGAGCTCTTCCACACTCATATGTTAACGCTGGTTACACAGGTCCTCGCGATATACGTGCGCACCTCCAACTCTCCTCCGAAACACCCAGCCCTGTACAGCTTCCGGCTCTGACGGCTTGTACAGCCTCACACTGCTGAGGGTGAGGCACGGACAAGGCGGACCAGGGAACTGCT